GGCGACGACGACGACGACGACGGCGACGACGACGACGACGGCGACGACGGCGACGACGATGGCCACAACGACGACGATGACGAAGACAGCATACCGCGCGATCGAACAGTCGTATGAATGCGTCTCGAGTCTCGTGCCTCGTTTAATTGACAGATCCGAGACGGATGGACGGACGTCAATCGTCGAACAATCGCAACACTGTCGAGCGCGCAGCACCGACTGAGGTTAGTGTCGTAGCAAGGACAACACGATGCTTCGGAGGACGATGCTTCGGAGGACGATGCTCTCTCTCTCTCTTTCTCTCACTTCTCTTTTGACGAGTTCTCGTTCTCTTTCTATCTTCCTCCTCTTTCTTTTCGTGATGCGCCGCTCTTCTCGTTTCACAGTATCGCCTTTCTTACGCACGGCACTGTGCGCCGTGATGAAGCTGGCCTTCCCTTGATCGCGCCAGCTCCTATTTTACGTGAGGCGCCGCGATACTGCACTCGTCGTCACGCCCGTGCACGCGATTGACGTCGCGCGTCGCCCACGAAGGATTCGAGGCGATGTGTCGGACGGTCGTGCGCAGGCATTCACTTCCTACGATAAGACACACGTAAACTTTACTCTATGAACGAAAGCACACCAACAAAGCAACAGTCGAATCAGCCACAAACTCGCGACTGTTCGCGACTCGTACCCTGTGCTGGATCGCGCCCTAATTGGCTAAGCGCCTCTTGTGGATCGGACGCGAATTATCATTGATAAAATAATCTATCGATACATCGATATACCGTATATCGATAAGAAAGTTTACATCTTTGCTAAACTTGCCGGTAATGTGACTCTCTGTCATCTCTATGCTTTTAACCAGGCAGGGTTAGCCCCTGCGCACAATGGAGAAAATATTAGGAATAGGAACAAATATTAAATATTAGGAATAGAAAATTGGAATGATTTTAATTCAGAACAAGAAAATGGGATCTATTAACGTATCATGAATTAAAAGTTAAAAATTAGGAATAACTAATACATTTCGTTTCTTTGTTTGAAGTAAAATAATTCCAAATTCTTCTTTCTAATATTTTATAATTATTCCTATTCCTAATATTTTCTCTATTGTGTGCAGGGCCTTAGGCATTTATATATAAACTATAATGATAATGTGATGTAATCCACGTGTAGACGTAGACTATACTTTACATATAAAGAACTTTACATATTTAACTTTGCCTCTAGCCATATTAAAATGAAAAAGACAATAAATTTAAATGTACGCTTTCAAAAAGATGTTAAAGATTTTATAAAAATAAAATAAAAAATATAAGTCTGTGGCATCAAAAATATATAAACTGAACGCAAACGATATTTACATATATATACAGATTTATAATTCATAAATACATCTCAATTTTGTATTTGACATATTTTCAATATTTACCACAGTTTCACATTTTTTGCAAAAATATTTGCAAAAATAGTGACAAGTTAGATTCTCTTTGACGTGTTTCTAGTCATAAAGTAATTTTTCTGCAAAATAAAAAAATATCAAATTTTTATTTTTAGTTTATCGTGTTTAGAAGAGTTTTTTACATTTAAGTTTTTATTTTTTTGTTTATAATTTAAAAATTAGCATTTTATATATTCATCTGTAGCATGCACTTTTATTTAAATACAATTTAATGTCGTTTGATCATTTCAAGTTTTGCGTTTTTATACATCCGTAAAGGGAAATGGCTTTCATTTACACGGGCCAATGACATCGTGATTTATTGGAAATAGTGGAATCGATTTACGTAAAATTGATCGGGTCGATTGTGCTCATTGTTAAACATGCATTCAAATTCCAGGCTGTGTTATACACTACGACAAAAGCAATATCACAAAAGCATATGTAGCACATGCAATTGCAAAATTATTTATAAACTTTTATATAAAAGTTTCAAAAAATATTACTATAAAAAGTTGAATAATTGGAAAAATAATTGAACGGAAAATATGGATGGATATTAATTCAGAAATTTCAAAAATATTATGAGATCACAAATTAAAATATCAAATAACATTCATTGTTATATTCATACTTTGCAATACATTGCGACAAATGCATTATTTATGCATTATTTGCGTAAGACCGTTATACCCGCAGCTTAACGTATTTGCTCTAAACTGACAATTTAACAAGATTTCACTCGTGTTTAGTAATAAAAGTATTAGCATAACGGGTGATAAGGATGAAAGTGAGGTAAAACACTTTCGATTTTCTCGCAAGCTATTTTTGTATTCGTTAATTTATCTGCCACAAAACAATTTTTAACGTAACGAGTCATTACCATTTGGTAAGAAATTCTGCAAAAGATATATATTTAAAATTTCATCACATCATACTGTTATTATATGTTATTATATGTTCGAAAGAATCTCATTTTGCAAAGTACATCAAACGTTCCGTCTTGCTATCGATATATGCCACTGACTAACGAGCGTAAACGATGCCAGAGAGTTACGTAAAGTGAAGGACACGAGTTTCGATGTTCGCTATCGATATAGGCTTCCGATGCTTGTTCAAAGATAGTTGTTGCACCGTGGGAAATCCTGTTACCTCCAGAATAGTGGGACATTGGCAGCTGCACAAATAACGGAATCTGTGCATGCTTTAAAAATTTATATTAAGATTTCTACCGTTTTCAAAATATTCTTCTTTATTTTGCAATCAACTTTCTTTATCGGATTTTAATTTTATGAAATTTAGTCTCAGTTTTATTAAAATGGAAAATTAATTTTGGTTCTTTTTCAATTATCTTATATTTTCTTTATATTATTGTAGACTCGATTGAATTAATATATAACTTATATATATATATATTTGTGTTCAAAATTATTTAATATTATTATACCTTAAACATTAATAATAACTAGCGCACTTATTGCAAAGCAGTCGATCTTAGCTTCATATTAGTGTCGAGTACCTCGTAGCTGTCAACGATAACGACACGATGACGAAGGCCGAATTTGTGTCACCGATGAGCGAGCGTACACTTGGGCGGCGCAAAACACGTCAGATAATCGTTTGCCGACCTCGCCATCGTTTTTTTCTTTTTTACTACAATGCTGGTGAATGGATGGATGTGCGGAGCGGTATTTACCCAGCCGCATCCGATCGTTCGATCGGGCAGGCGGATGGCACGGTCGGAATGCCCCTCTGCTCTTCCTCGTCGTATCCGCCGTGCCTCGGTGCATGATCGCTTTTCATTTCGTTACGTGTCTGCTTCGCAGTCGGTTAGTGGAACGACCACCGTCGATCTCACTCTTTGCACTCTCGCTAACGTAAGGACGAATGTTCACCGAGAGCAAATCGCGAGCACAGCTCGATGACGTTGGAAAGCACATGAAGCTGCAAAGGAGATCTACCGATCTTTAATCCGCCGATGATGCACACTCCAGCTAGATGTGACAAGTTTTCTGAAAGAGATCAATGACAGATCAACGTTTGCACAAGAGCGTAAGTGGATGCTTCAAAAGTACGAAGAGTAAAAGAATCAAAAGACAAAATTGACATTTAAATAAATATGTTAGCAATAGAAATGAAATAAATGTTGAGGGAATATAATTTTTTACTGAAAATAAATCTTAATAGTATAGCTTTAGTCACTTCTTCGCTACTATTTTACACGTACAGTTTATCTTGAATAGCACTTTTTATCCAAAGCAGACTTTATAAAATTTTTTCTTATTTTTCTCTGTGTTCACGCATTATAAATAATTACATCATTATTTTGGTGTAATAAAAAAAATTGTAATCTTATTTCATATTCGTAACAACTTATAAGACTCTATGATTTTATGTATTAAACAAATTTAAAGAAATGTAAATCTAATTCATTTGTGCGTTGAACTTATCTGTGTACGGCGAGATTACGTATCAATACAAAAATAGCTAAACAATTAATTTCCATTATTCGTCATCATTATTTTAATAAGTGTGAGCTATTCAACAGCATTCATGATTGCATTAATAGCTTTCCATGCTTCCGTATTTATAAAGATATTTAATGGCACGCCTCGCACCAGTACTTTCATGTGTAAATAAAAAAGTATTGTAAAATACAAATAAAGTATTGTAAAAGTATTACAAAGAAATTTTAAGCGCACAACACACACTTTTCCCGCACTCGTGTTTGCGTTCTTAGGAACAAATCTTATTGTAAACCGCTATCGCGAGTTATGTCGTGCGCTTACGTGGTGTTAAGAGATAGCGAAACCAAAAGCACGAGCAAAAATGGCGTGCATAACATTATGCACGGCAACTCACTTATTGAGAAACATTGCATTATCTCGGAACCTTGAAGTTAAGAGGGAGTTTTTTAAAGAATGCACCGCTAACGCGGATGATCGCACTCAACAATAAACTTACTCGACCTGGTGACACGAGTGTTGATTTTCACTTTTACACGTGATACCTATGCAGATAGTTATATAACTATATTTGTACGTACAACAGGTAAATCAGCAGCACGATTAGAAGCAAAGGATGTCGTTCCGGAATCGATAGAACAGCCTGGTAATCTCTGACACACAACTGCCCGCAACTGATTTTGTCCTGACGCATTTTACAAGCGCAAACGTACAAAATGATGATAGTAATGACATCACGTTTCGCCCATATGATTTTCATCTGCTGCCTCGTTTTAAGCACAGGTAAGAATTAGAAGAGTGTTATTAACGATTAAGTATCTAAAAAATTATCTAGAAGCGCCGCACGTAGTTGAATATATTAATGTTATGCGCAGATTTTATTTTATTAATCTAAATGAAATGTTTGTTTGTATTACAATATTTTATTATTAAATCGAAGTGTTGGATTAATTCTAAAATTTTTTATCTTTTTTAAATTATATTTTCTAAAAAATTTTAATAGACTAGAAATTCTAAAAATGCCTTAAGTGATAATAAACTTGTCACTTTTTATTCCACAGTAGTTTTTAAACTACGTTAGTTTAAAGTTTGATCAATCGTGTTTAAACAGTTGTTCGTCTTTCAATTGAGCGTACCAGTTTTTTGTTTAGTATCCGGGAATAGGTGATCATGCGAAGCATGGTATCGTAGACGCGACAGACAACTGTTTAACTGCAGCGCATATACTTTACAAAGTACACGTTCATATCTCTCAGGCTGGTCTCAGAGTTGTCAGGACCAAGATAAGGGATGGGAAAAGATTGCCGGAGCGAAGCCAGCAAACGCTGTAGAAACTGTATTATACAGAAACGGTGCCACAGGTAATAACGGTATCGTCACGCCTTGCTTTGACAGGTAAGTTAATTTATTATTAATTATAAATAATATTTTATGCCTTTAATTATATTCTTATTCGATTTAATGAATTTATGTCTTGTTGAAAACTAAAATAATGCATTCATACTGTCGTATCTTCTGTAAAGAAAATTAATTTTAATTTTCCACGAGGAATATTATCAAATGTTGCTAATGCCAAAGCAAAGTGTGTAAATTCAATTATTTGATTAAGAACAATCCATCTATCATAGGTGCAAAAGGCAAAATTGCACAGCATTTGTCGTCGACTTCGCGAGAAACATTTGTTACAGCGTGCAAGTAAACGGCGAAGAGCTTATTCCTGAATCTAACGCTACGTTTTTCCACAAAATTTGCATTAAAGGTGAGGAAATTTTTTCACCTTATGGTATAATAGTTTACGATAAATATATCATTTTTAAAACATATCAAATTTTAAAAGATTACTCGAATGACTCGAACGAAAATGTTACGCATAGTTCAACTTCCGAGTTATATAAATTAAAGTTCTTTATCTCTGCATTTCAGTTCCATCAAGTTGCAAAGAGTACAGATTGTGGCAAGTAGAAAGAACCTTGGGAGCTATCTTAAAAGATGGACACTCAAACTTGTACTATCAAGCATTGTCGCGAAGAAGCGAGTGTTACGAGAAGTGTTTGCAAGCAGGTACGCACTTTACGGAATAATTAATAAATTTATATCGAGCCGTAATGAATTCTATGTCAAATAGATCGATTCAAATGTGCATTTTCAAAAAATAGCAAGCCATCTATAAATTTTCTACAATAATCTTAGGAGACAAATGTGAATCCGCGCAATTTCGTACGAGCGAGCCTTTGTCAATTAACGACACTATAGGCACATGCTCATTATCGAAACTCGAGAGAGGTACCAGACCACAAGCTTATAGATCGTCGATGTATCGAGACGAGTATTTGCAAGATCAGTGCCATAATATATGTAAGTCAGCAAGCTAATCTATCTGTCATTTGTCGCGTACGTCGATCTGTATGAGGTAGGTAAACGCATTAAGTTAAATTAAACTGAAATTTGTATGTTTTTGTACAGCAAAGAAGAACTATTGTTCTTACGCAGAATTTCGGAATGTAACATTGCCATACTCGGATGTGGCGCTTCCGGGACTCGACGCAAAGCAGGTATACTTAAATATTTCATATCGTGGACAACTAAATTTTGTTACTCACTATAATTTTTTTAGTGCGAGGAGAGATGTGACCGCAGCAAGGATGGTTTCACATGCAGAGCCTATACCGTGGACTATTCGGAGGAGAAACCACTCTGTTTGCTGCACTCCGATGACACAATCGGTCTTGGAGTCAGTTCGCTAATTACCAGACCTAATGTGATTTACAAAGAAGAAGAAGCTTGTCTAGATTGTTCGTTGTAAAATAATTTACAAATTTTTTTTTAAATGATATTTTTTAGTGTTTTCTATATTGAGCACTGTTATGTTTTTCATAGTAAAAGTGCTATGCGGCGAATCAACTATGACAGTTACACTCACCACTGCTGAGCCCTTCGAGGGACGGATATACGCGAGTGGACATGGAGAAACCTGCGGTGTTAATGGCGTTGGGAAAAACGTAACCATATTAAGATTACCACTGCCAAGAAGAGAACAAGTCGGCCAGTCCGACATCGAATGTGGTCTTACACCCGCGTTTTCCATCGACAACGAAAATCGGTATTAATTGAGCAGTAAATTATAATGATGTTTAACGATGCTTCTATTCTATCTTATTTACTGCTTAATTAATTAATTTAATAAATAATTAAGCAACAAGTAAGATAGAATAAGAAATTACAAGCTTATTCGCCGTTTTTCTTACGAAATTACAACTTCTTATTTGCAGAACGCATACACTGATCTGGGCCACTATTATAATACAGTATAATCCAATCATTCAGCGATTGGGAGATCAATCGGTGAGAGTCGGATGCTCGTTAGATGACAACAATGTCCCGGAACCGAGAAATGTGTCCGTTCATTCGAGTTTTAGTTTCTTGGATCCAAAGTGAGTCCATCATTTTTTGTGCAAGATTATTTGTGATTTTTTTAAACAAATAATACATTTATCGTAAATGCTGCTTTTTGTTCAATTTTCTTGATATTGTGACAAATATCCCCGATATTCCGGCTCTGGTTACTATTTGTAGCGCAGGCGTGCCGCCGGTTGCATCGACCGTGGTGAACGCATCATCGGAAGCGCCGGTGGTAACGATGAGGATCCTCAATGAGGAGCATATGGATGCAGTCGTCACCCAATTAGGACAAAAGCTAACGCTTAGAATCGAAATTCAACCTGTTAACGGTGGGTCGCATGTTTATTTAATATTAAAATTCCATGTGCTCCAAATTGTACCTTCCCCCCCTCCCCCGCCCCCTTTTTCTTTCATGTATGAATTCTTTAAACAATATAAAATGGACATTATTAATCAAAATATGTAAAGCATCAATAATTTTTATGAATTATTCGAAATGTATTGGATTGATGCCAATTATTTGTCGTATTTGTTGACTAAAATTTAAGGTAAAATTACAGAGGTTCAAATTAATTATTAAAATAGTCGCTATTATTTTTAATACATTTTTTCCATCTGTATTCTGTATTCTAAAAACATTCGTAGAATGTCCTTAGAATGAAAATCAATAAATTCATTGAAAATAGAACTCTTCACAGATTTAGTCTTAGGTTGTATATATTAAAATATAGAGTAAATATACAGTAAAAGTAAAATAATTTCTCGGATTCAGGACCTTACGATATCGCAGCAGGACACCTCGTAGCTAGTAGCGCATCTGGCGATGCGTCATATCTTCTTCTAGATCAGTCTGGATGTCCAACGGATCCTACGACTTTTCCCGCGCTATTAAAGGATCCGATAGATAATCGTTCTTTGATCTCAACATTTACTGCCTTCAAATTTCCCGACAGTCAAATTGTTCGATTCAACGTCATCGTCAGATTTTGCCTCGAAGAGTGTGAACCAGTAAGTAGGCGGTTTTTTCCCAATATCTTTTCTTCTTTTTTAACATTTTTTATATTATAGCTTTTACACTTTAAATAATTGTTACAGGGGATTGACAGTAATATACATCATTATAAAATTAACTGTAATTTTCTTAGCATTTGTGTACAAATTACAATTATTAATAATATATCTACTAGCTAAAAGAGACCGACAAAATCATAAATTTATAATCTCTTTTAAGACTACATGCAGAGGGGGACAGATTTCATACGGCAGGAAGCGACGATCGATCGAACAGCAGCACAGTGCCGAGGTAACAGAAATTTTCCGAAACCTCACACCCGCGGAATTACCATTACAACTATCTATCGTCGTTCAAAGTCCGGTGATAACAGCGGATCATTTACTGTCCAGGGAAAATCCAGTTCCGGACACGGTTTTGATCACCGGCGGAAGTGAGTTTAATATACGAGCATCGAATGAATTTCAATTCTACATTTCTAAATCTTAAAGATAATAAAATGATCGTAGAATTAACAATCCAACTTGTTTTCTCAGAATCCATAGATGGCCTTTTCTGCGTGGATGCAAGCTTAGCTCTAGGTCTTTTGATTTTTTGGTTAATAATCCAAATCGTACTCACCGCCGGCTGTCTCCTAGCAGTCGGTCGCTATAGAAGGATGGCCATCGAGGCCGAAGAGGACAGAGCTGATATATTGGCGAGGCATTTATATGGGATTCATGGAGGAAACTTCGAAATTGCACGAAGAGTCAGGTGGGCCGATCGAAACGATTCAATCGGATGATTAGAACTTTTTCTGATTTTTTAAACCAAAACAATTAAAGTTGGCAAATTTAGGTGAATCTATAAAATACATATTGATCATTTAAAATTTACTTGTATAATGTGCATTTATTTCTAGTAATATTAATTAAAAGTTATTCAGGATAAAAACACTAAAGTTAATATACAAAATCAACAAGTTGTTATTCTTCGTTTAAAGTAAATGATTATTTTTGTAATATATACGTATGATATGTAAATATGTTTCTCTATGTTTGCCGCGCAGTCAGTCTTTCGTCCTTATTAAAGGGATATTATCCTAATTTATATTCTTCAATGAAGATTGTAAAAATCATCCCGACATGCTAGTTGAGCAGCGTCCATAATGTCTTAGTAACACTTCTGTAAATATTAAATATTGCATGTTAATGTTTTAATGCGTTCATTTAACACATGCACTGCCGTTTATTGTAAGGAAACAAAAATCGTAAAAAATGCATAAATATCCACATATATATCCACTATATATCCACTATATATCCACCCGCTATTGCAAAATCTATTAATGCTAGAATGATCGAATTATTTAGACGTCATGTATATGTTTCTTCGTCAAAATACATATATCGACGATTAATATTAATTAAAAATTAATAAAGCTGTAACTCGCATCTTATTGAAAAATATTAATGGTAAAAACTATTAAGTCGACTGTTCTAGTTTTACATTTTTTTTTCATTTTTACAAATTTCTTGAGACCGTTTTTACTAATGGAAAGATCGTGTCAATTGTTACTTAATTACGCATGTATCTTTCAAAAGCAAAATAAGCTTAATTGAAGCAGAATATAACAAACTTTCGTTCTTAGAAAATATGTCATATCTTACCTTTTCCACATCTTTGTGCACAACCTAGTCCCCCTGGATTGGTGTAGTCAACATTATCCGTACCACAAACAGGATTGTATTCTGGCGTTGCCTATAATCAAAATATGATTATGAGCTAGCTATCAAAATTATTTTTCAGAAGATTATAATGTATGTCAGGATTGACAAATTTCCACAAACTTGAATTCGAGACAGATGTGATATACACTCAAAACTTTTGCTTTATTTCCGCATCAATTTATAAAAAAATATTATTAAAAAAGTTTTTTTTTAACTAAGTAAACACTTATTTAATTTTCTCTACATAAAATGGTGCTGATTTAGTGAGAGTGTTATAATTACCGGACAAGATGAAACGCATGAGTTGAACTGAGTGTCGTCTAAGGGTAGAGAAGTTGTACTAGTTGCAATTGTAGTTAAAGTGGTTCTTTGTCCAATATTGGGTCTGGAAGCCGTTGGGCCATCAAAAACGAAGCCATCTACTTGGGACATCGTACCTGTCCCCGAATTCTATTAAAAATATTTCGAGTTATATTTTTAAATGACACATGTTAAACTCTTTCAGTGTGTACAGAAAATGTCATTTTCCATAAACAAAAAACCACAAAATTTTATTTATGATCTTTAAAATTGCTATTGAAATTATCTCTTCTTTATTCACCATTCGAGAAAAACATTCACTTACTTGTGGAAACGCAGTGATAAGAAATGGCGATGTAGCAACTGCAGAAATTATTAAACAGAATTAATAAATTAATATCTTTTACAACACATACACATACACACAAAATAATTTTCTTACTCAGCAATAAATGAAACAACATATTGATAACACGCTTTTCAGCACTTAAAAGATCTCACTTAACTAACAACTGATTAGCTATTGACCACTGCACTCCAAGTGGCTGATCGAAGGTCGACGGTATACTGTTTAGAAGCATCAACTGCGCTTTCTTTTATAGCATTGGTTGCCAACCAACTACAAGCACAGTTATGCACGTTTATTCAGATTCTGCACGCATAAGCGTAAGTAAACGGGATTTTCCCTGCTAGTTCTCAAACTTTTTGCAAAGGATGACTTAATATCATACGTCAATAATGAGAAACATGAGTCACGGAAATATTTTCTACGTATAAGATTTTTAGGATTTGATCATTCTTTATTTTACATAATCATACTTGAGTTTTTAATAGATGAGAGTTAAATAATTTCTTGAATAGTTTGGTTGCTGAATATATGAACTTATTAGCTTTAGTCATTAAACTCACAAAAGAAAAACTCCTATTATTTTCAAGTAAATATCTTTTCACGAAATTATCAAGCCAATTATATAATCGATGCAATTTTTTCTGACTTTCAATATTAAATCTTTTTGTGAAGTACAACAAAAACAACATTATTCTGTAAAAAAATCTCAATTAATTGCAAAAGTTTTATTATGTAATTATATTAAAGTTTAAAATAATTTTATACTTTAATTACGATATTCTTTTAGAAAAATATATTTTTTGATAAATAAAACATTTTATAATGCAACAAAAAATTAATATAAAGAACAACAATGTTATTTATCAGTTTTATCAATTTTAAATGAGTATAATTATCTGAAACATATTTATCTCAAAGTTTAATAAATAATTACCTTCTTACTTTCTGTTTTATTGTAAAAAATAAAGACAGATTTTTATATAAAAGTTATATAAAAATTTATTTACCGGTATATTAATCATTATAACTATCTATATAAAATTTTGGACAGATTTTTCTTTGGAAATTTTTGAGGTGTTTTGTCATAATTTACTCTGCGCAATCTTGTTGTATATTTATTCAAGTCGTTCCAATGAGTGAATATTTATTCGTCAGACTTATTCTTACAAATCGCATAAGAATGTTAATGAATTTTTATGTTACACGTATGTAAAATTCTACTATTTACCAGAAAAATTACTATCTTTTGCACGGCAAAGCTTAACGATAAAATTGTTATTTTATAACTAAAAATTATATTAAAATATATATGTATAAAAATATGTAGTAACTTATCTTTTATAATGTATTTTTTCAACAAACAAAATGAAACAAAATGATAAGATCAATGTGATAAATTATACTGATAATTTAAGTTTCCTAAGGATGCTGTGTAATCAATAGTTAGAAATATAGATAACAGCTTGCGGTCGTATATTAGAAATTTTGATTGCAGAACCGCGCATGAATCTGTAATATATAAAACATCCTATCGTTATAATTATGCCAGAAAAAAATAATTACAATGTAAAAATGTAAAAAGAATAAGATTAGTATTAATTTATTATAAAAATATTAATAAAAATTTGAAAATTTTGCTTACCTCTGTTACTTGCTTATCTGTACCTACTATCATATTGTTCTCGTAGTAAGTAATGATAAATATTGGATTTTAATTGCTGCTCAGTTGACTGTATGGTTCGCAAGCTCTAATTACTCGTACTTCAAGTTCTAAAAAAATATTTAGAATAACTAGAAACAAGATTCGTCAAGACTAACAAAAGCTGTACATCTTTAAATGGTTAAACAAATCAATAAAGAGGGAAAATTGGAAAGTTGGAAATTGAGAGATTTAAAAAAAGAGATTTAATATTAATAAATTTTAAATTACAACCTAAAGACTTAAACGATATAAAAGTTTAAATTAAATATCAATATTTTAAAATTATATTTTAATATGATAATACGATATGACAACAAAGAAGGAATTTTAACACAGTAATATAAGATTAATAACAATTATCTTACGTGAGTTACAGTTTTTCGCACAATTAAATCTTCCCATATTCCAGTAGGTAACGTTATCGGAGCCGCATACCGGATTGTACTCTGCAGTTGCGATACACGGACAATTGGTCGATGTTCTTTGCGTAGTACTACTTGGTACATTAGGATCACCGGAAATCTCGTTTGACCGGTCTCTTTGTGGGAATGCCAAGGCAACCAACCAAATCATGGTCAATACTTGCACAACTATGGAATAAAACGATGTCAACGTAAATGCATGTTTCAATATACTGAATTTGCTAAATATACCATGTCTTGTTGAAGTTTAAGTCTCTATAATTTTAAAATTAAAAATTTCAAAAAATTTATTAAAAGTGTAAATTTTTTAATATTTCCCAGACAGCACAAATGTCCAAAATACATGGTCCAAAGGATATTCAAAGGACGTCCTGTCGTCCCAAAAATGTCTTCGGGATATCCTCTAAACGTCTTTTGGATGTGCCGTACTGTCTGGGTTAAAGATTTACAAAATATGAAAAATCGTCTTCAGTTCTGACATATTGAGTTTGCTCCAAAAATTTATAATGGACTTTTTTTATTTTCTATAAAAAATTAATAATTATTGTTATTTACTCACGTGCAAAGATATGTTTCATTATTATTTCCGTATAAATATTCCGATTCCAAGAATAAAAAAAAAAGAAACTGTAGAGAAAGAGAAAGAGAAAGAGAGAGAGAGAGAGAGAGAGAGAGAGTTTTAAATGATAAAATGATTGAACTCAAATGACGATCTTTGGGGAACTGCTTCTATTTATGCCTTCGCCAGCTCTTATCTGTTTCCAACTTGTTTCCTTATAAGGGAAAAAAAACTTGTAGAACATGTTGTCGGGGATATCCACATTACCACTTAGTCATTACATTTAATATTAATTTTACGTATACACACAAAAAACAGAATCATTTAAGAACTCTTTCCTATTTTTATCTTGTAAGAAGTTTTATCGAAAACAGCCAAAATTTTTATCTACTGTAAACTCTTAGTAAGATAACTAAAATAATCTACAATTCTAATTAAATCTTTTATCACAACACAATCGCTGAACTAAAAAATATTAATTTTAAATAATTTCTCTTTTTAATCACTTTAATCTTTAATTTAGTCATATGTTTATATCCAGACAAGAGATAATAATAATCATAAAATTCTACACAAGCATAATTAGTGAATCATCTATGTTATACGCATCACGCGCGTATGTATAACTCACTCACACATATGGATCTTTTCTCATTCCTGCATCTATAAATGTTAAAAGCAGGGTCGGCTTTAAGAGAGAAGTCGAGCAACGGCCTTGCAGTAACAAGAAAGAGAGAAGGTCTACGATCGGTCGAAGAGAGTACATTTGACACTGACTGTTTTTTTTTATACTTTTTATTTAAATAAACATTTTTTGTAATCAGCCATAGGACATTCTTTTGATCCTGAGTTTTTTTTTTACATTTTTTAACTGGTCAGTAAATCCTTAAGCAACAAGCTTTTTTCTTTTTCTCCTTTCTTCTTCTTCTGTCGTTTTCTTTTTTTAGAGACTGGGGTATGTAAAAAGATATTGTACAGAGATCCCAAAGAGTCTAGAACCAGCCCTGTTTAAAAGTCTACAACATCCACGTCAGCTTTCTTGAATATGACGTCAGAAGCGAGGAAATCTATGCGGTCAAGACTTTTGCAACTTATGTTTAAACATGTTTTCATTGACAAAATCAATTTCAGCGAACTCTAACTCAATAAAATATGTTTACAAGATATATGAGAAGTAGTGACTTTCTCATTGATTTCAGACATTATATACCTTTTATATTTAAATAAAAATTTTCTAATTCCTGTTTTTAAAAAAGCTAAAATTAGTTTCTAATGTAAACTTTTTAAAATAACAAATCTTTAATTAATAAATAATAAAAGTTGATTTTATCAAGCAACATAAATAAATGTTTTATAAAAATTCTGTAAACATAAAATAACTCTTGCATATTAAGTAATTACAAAAATAACTCTTGCGAGTTTTTGCTACTTACTCAAATATTATGTTACTCGTTACTTAAATGTAATTTTCAAATTACTCTTGCAACATTTGTTTTGTTTACAAGGCTAAATTCGCGAAAACCATTTACACATTTATTTTACTATTACTATTTACTATTTATTGTATATTTCTTGATAAAAATATTTTAAATAACTCAGACACTTTTAAAGTGTGCTGCGCAACTATAAGTTGACGGGAATAATTACATGCCAACGTGGCTGCTTTATGATTCCAGCTTCCAGTGTAATTTCAGTATAAGCTAAATAAATTCAGTAATGATATCTCTAAAAATGCATAGCAATACAGGGAGAGACCTCAGGCGAACACAGTTGGAACGAAGAAGCGGCGGAATGTGCGCGATCTTTTTGTGTACATACCTAATGCCCTATCTACACCGAAGGATAATCCTACTTGTGGCTCATCCGACCAC